TTGGGCCTCCAATACCGTCGCGTAGCGATGGCGCCAGGGCGCCAGCCAATGCGGTAAAAGATACCCGTTTGTTTTCCACCGCAGGGTGGTTAAGATCGCGGCCTGGAGGGAAAGCCCAAGGGCGGCGAAAAAAACACGCGTGGAGGCCCCTTTTGGCAGCCGCCAGGGGGTTGGGGCCCAGGCGAGGAGAAGTATCATCGGCACCAGCCCAAAGGAGGAGCCGGCGAGGATGAACGGCGTCGTCAGGCCCGCCCAGCCGTTCGAGGTGAAGAAATGGACCACCTGCGGGGACCACAAAAAGGCGACCGACGCGCTCAAAAACCACGCACTAACGAGGTAATCCGACAACACATCCCACGACAACAGCCCGGTTTGAATGATAATCAGGGCCTGAAAGAGCCCGTTGTCGAACTCGTTCGGCGTGCGGTTTAGATAGTTCATGTGCTCTTGATAGGTACTACTGAGCAAAACCCACAACAGTACCTGATTAAACAACGCGACGACCTCCACCAGGCTCATGAGTTTCCCGGAAAGCGGGACATACACCACAAATCGCTGAATCGCCTTACTGTAAAAAGACGACCAAAACAAAAGCACCAACATCTGAAAGAGGCTCACGCGAAGGGTGTGGGTGCGGGAATGGCGAATCCACCGCAGCTGGTACCAACACCCCCAAAGCGTCGGAAGGGCCTGCAGGAAAAGAAGCCCAATCCCATATCCATTTGCCCGCCGCGACCACGCGCGAAAGGTTTGCACGTTTGAGGTCCAACTCAGGGAATCCCCGCAGGTCGACCACATCTTTCCCAGCGTTCCGTTTGGCTGGCGAAAGTCAATCTCGCCAAGCCACACGCAGGAGATGTCGGTCAGGTCTTCGTAGGTGAAGTTGGAGAGATCGCTCTTTGCCGAGGGGGTTGTCTTGTCATTCCGCGACGTTTCCGCAATGGCGTAGACTTTCTGGAAGAGTTTGGCGGCCTCGACGCTGGTAAGATCGCCGCGGATATAAGTTCCCATTAGTTGGTAATAGGGGTCGTCGTTTTGTTCGTCGGCCTGGGCGTAAAGAATTCTCATTTTAATATCCCGCATGCTGTAGCCGATCCCTATCCACTTTCCTAACGTCGCGGATGAATTATCCCAGGCGCCTCGAAAGACGAATTTTGTTTTTTGCCCACTCACGGTGCTGCCGTCATGCACCAAAACCTTCCAATGTTGGCGGTGAATGTCTATAAATTCATACTCATTCGGCAAAACAAAAATATTTCCATCCAGCACCTTCGGCATGGCATTCGTCGTTGACCGGTTTCGCGTTGACCACACAAAACACTCCTCGCCAGTGGATTTATTCTCGCAGGGATCCTTTGACCCGGTTTCCGTTATAGTTTCATAGCGTACAGACTCATTATTGTATAAAAAGGCGACCTGGGCAATTTTGGAAGCCTCGCTTGTCGTCCACGATCCCAATGAGGGACATACATTCGAAAAGATATGTAGATGGTCCTCCCAGATTCCATTAAGACCAACAAAACCGGTGCTGGAGGACCAGAAGGTCACGGAAAGCATCGGGCTCAGGGACCATAAACTCAAGCTTAGAATTATTAGCCCCAAGAGCCATTGAAAAAGGGCTCGTTTGGTGTACATTTTTCTACATATAGTACCGTTTTTTGTTATTTGTTTGGATACTACACTACTTATTAGTTCTCTTTTTTTTTTGACTCAATTTGACACACTTGAAGAAATAAAACTTATCCGTGAGGGTGATATGTACGTCCTGTTTCAAAAGCACCAGTTCGAACCAAAATTGCATGATGCATCCAAAGATGTCATTTTAGTAGAAAGTATATATATATATATATATATATATATGTATATTGTGATAAAAAAAGCTTTACGTAATCTGAAAAGTAGAATCTACAATGCATTTCACATCTATAAACATGCTCATCTAACTAATAGCAATTTATCGTTCAGCGCCTGAACACCCATAACTTCTGATCTTCAGGTAGCATGCCATTGTTTGTAGTCGAAGTTCCCCCCAGCCACCGAATTCATTTTCACACCCAACGTCCGAAAGGAAGCGACGCTGTTCTAATTTTTTTTTGAATGTACAGGAATACCTCGGACCTTCGGGTTCTCGTTATTCTCGATTACCTTCCCGCTAGAAGTGCTCACTGTATTGTTTCATACAAACCCGCGTGATCTCATCGCCGCGGCGATCAAACAGGGCGTTAAAAAAGGCCGTGACCTCATCCTCGACCTGCAGGGAGGGCCGATCGAGGCGATGCCCGCGATCTATCAAACGCGGCGATATAATATAATGTTGTTTATTCCCGCTTTCCTCGCCCGGTTGAAGGCCCAAAAGATCCACCACCCTCCGAAGTTCCCCATCGCGGAGGGCGCCGAGGAGGGGGTCGGCTAAAATCACCGTCGTCGGGGGCGCATTCCCGGCGGTGAGGGTGGTGGAGTACACCGCATACCACGCATCCATCGCGAGCGCGATGAGCTCCTCGCGAACGATCTCCATCGGATTTGTCCGCTTCCACTCTATTCCCTCGTTTTCGTTCCTTTCCAGGCTGAAATCTTCCTCCATGGGGTTCAGGGGCGATCGCGATTTCGCGCGATTGGCCCCCTCGGACGAGCGAGCGAAGGCCCCCCGGAAGGACCCCCCTTCGCGGGAATCCCCCAGCGCCCTAAACGCCTCGTACAGCGGATGATGGACATCCTCGCTGGGGTTTTTCGCCCCTTTGGGGGCTTTCGCCTGCGGTTTGCCGGAGGCGATCGCCCCCTCCGTTGGGGATTTTCCGGCGATTCCCAGCACCTTGGCCTGGCGGCGATGCGCGGCCCCCAAATTCAGAGCGAATTCCATATCCCGCGTGGCCTCAAAGAGATGATAATCCAACTCCAGGAGGTGTTTTTGGCGGGCCCGACGGGCCTCCAGCCGGGAGACGGTCCCGCCCGCGTTGTTCAACACTTCCGTTAGCTGACCCCAACAGGGCGGGACGCGCAGGGTGCTGGGGTTGAAGCGATCGGCCTGCACTCGCACGCTGCTTCCCCACAACAACCACGCCCGATTCGCGTCGTCGATCTTGAAATGCAGGACCAACCGGGTGATTTGCTTTTGCTCGACCTGGTAAAAATGCCGAACGACGTCCTCGCAAAGCCGGGTTAGAAAGATCTTGGCGTCGTCGGCGACCATCGATTCGTAGCTGTGGTAGGCGGGGCCGTCGTAGGTGGACAGCCGCGTGGGGATCGGCACGACGCGGTCGTCCAGTCGGTAGTAATTCGTCCGCCGGTAGACGGTGGTTAAAAGGGGGGACCAAAAGACCTGCAGTTGGCTGTTCTTCCGGCTCGAGCCGTCGCCTTTGGGGAGGACAAAGCGCTGGAGGACGCCGTCCGGCTTGCGGGGTTGGTGGAGCAGAAACTCCTGCAGCCCTGCCGCGGTGAAGAACTCGACGTACGTGAGGCCCTGGGCGAGGTCCACCGTCGGGGTCGCCTTCGCCCGGCGGGATAAAATCGCCTGCCAGGCCTCCCCGACGGGGAGGGTGCGGTAGAAAAACTGCGCGACGACGTCGATGTGTTTGATCGGGTCGGAAAAGACGCGAAAGATGCTCTGCACGTCGAGCATGCGCGAGGGGCGTTTGCTGATCGCCTCGTTGTCCTCGTCGTAGTAATACCACGCCCGCGGGAAGTTGTGCTCGAAGACGATCGTATCGGGCAAATAGACCGAGGACAGCGTTTGCTCGCCCCCTTTGAGGTTTCGCTGGAGGTATTGGTAAAGCAAATGCGAAAGCCCGTCGTCCTCGATGGGGTGATTGCCGGACCAGAAGTTGGGGTAGGCGACGGTCACCCCCAGGGCCGAGCGGTACGGCTTGTGATAG